GAAGTCCCGGGGAACAGCTAGTAATAATATAAAAAATCTTGTACACATAATCAACCATTAATTAAGAATATAGAAGACAACCCAATATCGTCCCGTGGGTGTCGTAAGAGGCAGCAGAGGAAAACAAAGCAGCGGCACCTTCCCAGTGAAAATCAGAGCCATGCTGCAGCTATACTGTGGTTGCAGCACGAATGGGTCGGCTCGACCGGGGTATGACCACGTTCTCACAGAATACCAGCGTTAAATAGCAGCTTAAAGGTGCTGTGTTTCGTATGGTGATTGTAGAGAACCGGAGACCCTTTTTACTGGAAACGAGGCATTCCATCTCAGTCCTCAGGACTGGCAACGCATCTGCATTTTGATTTTTAATTGAAGATAAATGTAGATGTCTATGGGCCACATCATCCACTTAACATCAGGTGGACTGTGTGCTCGTTTGTCACCCTTATACTAGAAAAAAATATTGCGATTGCCAAACCGCCTGCTAAACATGGCAACTATAGCAAATATCTTCCCTATGAGACAATTTATGGGAATGTTCTAAGAGGGGTGATCCAAAAGTAATGATAATCGGTTACTTCAGGTCCGCATAAAAATCCAAAAAAAATATTTTTTGCTTGCTTATATACTCACTACGTCAGCTTAAAAAAATCATATAAATAGATCACGATTTCCGGGAGATACATTCATTTGAATACGAACTGTCAAAGAGATAACATCAACATGGAGAAAAACGAAATTAGAGTTACACAGTGACTTAGTGGAAACATTGGAGGACTCTGCTCCTCCATATTCTACAGTTGCACGCTGGGCCAAGGAGTTTAAACTGGGCAGAACATTCACTGAAGATGAACATCGCGAAGGACGCCCATCCACGTCCCTCACTGAAGACAACGTGAAAAAAGTCGAAGATGTTGTTTTTTGGCAGATCGAAGAGTGACCATCAGGCATGTAGCTGAGGTCACAGAGATCTCATATGACAGCGTTCAAAGAATCCTTGGGAACGAGTTGCATATGAAAAAGGTCTCTGCGCGTTGGGTACCCAGAATGTTAACCGACGAGCAAAAGAAAAATCGAGTTGACATTTCGAGGGTCAATCTCGAAAAGTTCCAAGCAGATGAAGAAAATTTTTTGTTCCGTTTTGTGACTATGGACGAGACCTGGATCCACCATTTTGATCCTGAAACGAAACAACAATCGATGACTTGAAAGCGAGCCTCCTCACCGACGCCAAAGAAATTCAAAGTTTCAAGTTCGGCGGGAAAGGTTATGGCATCTGGTTTTTGGGACGCTCAAGGCATAATTATGGTGGAATATTTGGAAAAGGGAGCCACTATTATGGGCTCTTACTACAGACCAAATAAGAAGATTACGGGAGGCCATTAAAGAAAAAAGACGCGGCAAACTGCGAGCTGGAGTGCTGTTTCACCAAGACAACGCACCGGCTCACAAAGCCGCAGTTACGATGGCTGCCATTCAAGAAACGGGATTCGAACTGCTCGAACACCCTCTCTATTCGCTAGATCTAGCTCCTAGTGACTTCTACCTCTTTCCTCGGCTCAAGGAACGCCTCCGAGGCAAGAAATTCGAAGACGATAGCGAAGTAATGGCCGCTGTTGAAGCGTTTTGGGAGGGTCAAGACAAAGAATTTTTTTCAAAGGGATTTGTTAGGAGACTATGTAGAAAAATAAATTATTATTTTAACTTTAAGTACCGTGTTTTATTTTCATTATCATTACTTTTGGATCACCCCTCGTATGTTCAGCAGTGTACTTCTAATAGGCTTTAACGGTTATTACGATCTTGTAATAAAGAAACAATCGTTTAATATTGGAACAAATTTCCCAATTAGATGGACTGAGTGCCCGTTGTTGTAACCTTATACTATATAAAAGCCTATCCCAATTCTGTCAGTATCTCGCAGACAAACCCATGGAGTCTTCAATTCGATATTAAACTTAAAACTAATTTGTTTTGATATAACAGAGAAGGCGTCATCAGCGACTTTACCAAGACAGAAGGCAGAACAGAAGAAATCAGAGACTGGACCCAAGCTTTCCTCACATTCGTCTTTTTCAAAATTCGAGGAGAAGCGGCTTCGTCAAAGCGAAACGTTGAAGAAGGCCAACTTGCTCAAGTTCAGTGTTTTTAAGAAAAGTAGCACAGGTATAGATTTTTTCGCATTTTTTTTAAAATAGAGAGTAGGTAACAATGCTATTAATATAACTCGTACACTTACGACACTAACGTAACCTTACCTTATACCTTAAAATACAATAAGGTGGCCGTGATCAAGGATCTCCTAGGTGTGAGTTGTTTGTGATTAGCAGTGATCGCATACAACTGCCGGTACGACATACTCCGCCGATCGATGAGTCCGCTGATTCCGTGAGGCGTCGAGGTCACCGGCCCCTAGGCAGATTCTTGGCGCTTTAAGACGCTCGTGTCTATTGTGCCTAGTCGCGTTCTTAAAGTGCCACCACCACACTTCCCCCAACCCTTTTGCTATAAAAGGGGTAGGCAGTGCCCATAGTGTCGAACGAAGCTCTTAACTTGTCATCACCACCATCCGCGTCGCGCAACACCAGTTGCTACCGATCGGCTGGTTATTTAGATAGGGCCTAGTAAAGATTACCACTGACTCAGGTAGGGCACCAACATGTCAGGTAAGGATAAGGGGGAGCCCCTCCCCCTAAGTCAAGAAAACCACCGGACCGCCCTGGCGTTTTGGAGAGGCCAATCGCCTATAGGGACATCTTCAACCCCGAAAGGACTAGAGTAGTGTCGTCCTACTCTCAAATCCCGACCCGAAAGCCTTCGTCGCCGGATAAAGAGCCTGCACCGAGGGCCGCGCTCTCGCCCATCGTACCTGAGTGTACGACTGGGCGTGAACCGTTGCCCCTTCAAAAGCGGGCAAAGAAGACGACACGAAGGCACACACCACCTGAGACCGATGCCTCCCTCCACGAGATGAGGCAGCGCATCGGTTCTCATAACCCAACACTATCGGAATCATCATCACCACCAACATCGGATGATGAGGAGCCCCAACCTGCGACTAGGAAGAAGGTCCATACCTCACCTCCTAAATCGCCAACACCACAACAACGACCACCATCCATCTTACCGGACCGGCGTAGTCACGACTCGGCCCAATACGAGCAAGGAGGTGAGGAGTCCTACAGCTGGGGTTCTACAACCTATGCAACCCTAGCTGCATCCGCCGGAAGATCATCCCCGGTGCAGATTACCAACCCGTCCGGGTTATCACAAGATGACGGACAGCGGCCGTCAACGAGCTATGCCCACATGGCTGCGGCCCCCGCAATACCACGACCACAATCGGCGGAAGAGCCACAAAAAACCGAGAAAGAGAAGGAGAAAACGAGATATCCGCCGATTGTTGCTGAATGCCTCCCGGACTGGACCAGGCATTTCGAGGAGCTCAACAGAAAGTTGGGCCACCCTCCTAATGCCCGTTCGTTCGGGAAGGGTGTAAGGTTCGCACCCCAGAGTCTGGAGGAGTTTCGAACTATACACAGATATATAGTCGAACTCTCCGAGAAACTACCAACCATGTCGTGGTATTGTTATACCCCGGCTGAAGAGAAGCCCACTAAAGTGGGCATCCGGGGCCTGCCAGTGGGCACGGATCCCAAAATGATTGAGGAAGCTATCCGGGCAAAAGGCTTCCCCATCACCTATGTGAAGGCCATACCACCACGTAGAGGCAGACCGGGCTGCCTCTACTATGCACAGCTGGAGCATCTGAGCCTGGAGCGGCTACAAGACCTGTACCGGATCGACGAGCTCCTCTATATGAGAGGAGTAGTCATCGAAGCCTGGCAGAGGAAGACGGGACCGGCACAATGCCACCGTTGCCAGGCTTTTGGCCAAGCCTCCGCAAACTGCTTCAGGCCAGTGAAAGGCGTTCGCTGTGCCGGGGAGCATATTGCTAGCCTTTGCCCAAGGGGTAGAGAGGAAGAGCCGAAGTGCGCAAATTGTGCAAAAAACCACACTGCCAACGATCGCCGCTGCCCAGTCCTGAGAAGGATTGCATGGAAGCAAGGGATCGTTCTACCTGGGCTGCTCCCAGAGAACCCTAAGAGGATCCCCAGAGTCGCCCAAAGGCTGTCACCATCCAGGAGGATGGGTGGGCCACAGTCACCAGAGGGAAGGGTAGGCAACCAGCCCCCCCCCCCACCCCCTCCTCCTATACCAATGGAAACGGTGGAACCCATAGAACAAAGGGCAACCACCGGGGCGACTCTCCAACCTCCTGCCAACAACGCCATGGAGAGGCAACCTTCCCAAAGGAAGAGGCGGAGGAACAGGAGCAGGAAGACTGAACAGCCCCCTCCTCAGGCTGTGATTACCTTTACCCCTACAATAACAGGACCGATAGCCTCACAGGCGCAGGTTACTGAGAGACCACCACCAAAGAACACGACGGGTAGAGCGCCAGAAAGGGCTCTACCAGAAAGTAGAGCCCGCTCTGCACATAGAGCGCGCTCTACACAGAGAGCGCGCTCTACATATAGAGAAAAGACCACCACAAATACCCTGAGAACAGTGCCTTCACAACATAGACCATCAACGTCCGGCCTCGACAGACAGTACCTGTCAATGTCATACTTTATGTCATAACGTAGACAGTACCTGCCAATGTCATACTTTATGTCATAAAGTATGACTGTGTGAAGTATGGAGTGATGACTTGGTAAGACATGCAGGAAGTGGATGGATGCAGGTGGCTCAGGACCGTGTTTTGTGGCGTTCCTTGGGAGGGTGGGCTAAGTTCAGCAGTGGACTTGTAAAGGGCTGTGTTGATGATGACGATGACGATGATGATGATGACGATGTTGATAATGATAATGTACTTTAAATCGTTTCTTAACGTAAAACGAATCTTTTTTTAATAGGTAATAGAAATATTTATTAGTCGATAAAAAGACGTGACGATATGAAACAAAGCTGAATACTTTAAATAATATCTGTAGATGAGCACGAATCGGACAGACGGTCCCAAGAGTTCAAGATACCGTCGGCGGTGAACGAAGGTATGAAGCGCGACTTTCGTGTTCTTTTTCCGTACCTGCCGGCGCAAGTGGACCGCGACACGCGCCTGTTCGTGCACAGCTTCATGCTGGACGTCATTAAGTGTTCCAGCATGATGGCGGTCGACGAGCTGTCCGAGAGGGTCCAGCGGCAATACCAGGTGAGCCTTGTTCACTATTGGCAGATATATAAATATGGCTCAGTATTTTACCTGCGGATAAATATATGTTTAAATCCGCCTTGGTCCTTTCTAAGCTGTATATCAAATTTCTTCGCCTTTTAGTAAATGCTAATGCAACACGTGCATCAAAATCAAAATCTGAACCCTATTCTGACGAGCTGTCTAGCAAATCTAGAAGCAATATACACCAACTCATTGTGGGTAACACTGTATTAACAATCCGCTCCAAAAAACACGTCTAGTAAGTTTGAAGGACTTCGAGTAAAAATGTATTAATATTATTTCATATACTATTGTATCGATACTTTCAGGTAATTAAGTTTTTATACGCACATAAAATATTATCGTATCTGCGTAGTTTGTGTATCGCTTTACTGGTTTGATTTAGGATAAATTGAACCTGTCGAGGCATGAATTCTTGTTAGATGGGTTGGTAGAATATTTCATGCAGAGATTAAATTATACGCTACAGAAGAGTGTGGTTTGCAAGATGTTGTGACCAGGATTAAGAAAGAAATGCTTCGGTGGTTTGGTCATGTGGAAAGAATGAATGAGGAAAGAATGACAAAGAAAATTTATGTTGCAGGAGTGAATGGCAGAGTCGGAAATCAAATTTATCGACCAAATTGGCGATTTATTGAAAACGGGCCAAATTAGGAGCATCCTTAGCCGACGAGCATGTACGCGTAGGTATATGGAAGTGAAGGAGGCGAGAGGTGTGTCAGGATCGTGCCAAATGGAAGTCTGTAGTCTCTGCCTACCCCTCTGGGTGAGAGGCGTGAGTGTTTATGTAAATTATACTTTCTATTTATGTTTTGCAATGATTGAAAAATCGATATAAAGAGTTTCTGACGGACTTTAAAAAAGGAGGAGGTACTCAATTCGAAAGTATTTTGTAATGTATACTGACTTTTCTATAACCTTCTCTTTTTTATTTAAAAGCTGGTTCTTCGCATGTATTCCGTGTTCATGTGATCAAGATTTGACCAATAATTTTTGAATTATCCTTAATAATACGTATTTAATTGACTTCAACTACATTGATGATGTTCTCATTGTTTTTATATTGAAGTCGGTTGTACAAAACTTTTAATTTTACCACTTGTTACCAAAAGTTATTCGTCATATAAAGGTATATTTTGTATGAACCCTTACGGCCAGTTCTTGGGGATTACTAAGAATTTGTTTAATATCGTTACGTCCCACTTTAGGCGGGACGGTCCCGGTTTAAAGGGTTGTGTCCCGCTGTCCCCAAAATACGTAAAAGTGTCCCGCTTTGACAAACGAAAGCGTAGCATCATGCAAACTCTTAGTATGACACCGCGCGTGCCAGGTTTAAAAATTAAATAAATAAAACACGATAAAATCCGTAAAAGTAGTTTTAATCAATGAAATAGTTTTATCAAAACTGTCTGTAGTGACGTCATTGTAAATAACGTCATAGGTTCCTGAAAATAAACATTTGTATATCTAGAAATAAGAACAATTAATGTACTCTAACTACAAACCCAACACACTGTAGTTGAGAACCTTTACGATTTCTTTTACATAAATACTTGTACATTGAATAAAATAATTATATGGATTTTATCGCGGTGTGAGGGGGGGGGCAGCTGAGGTGATTGACTAACCAATGTTATAGTTAGCCCGGACAACTTTTACCTTTTAAATTTTATCTTCTTACAATAGCAAATTCAAACAACACGTTGTAGAAATTTATTAATGATAATGTACATGGATAAATATAATATGGACTACCAATTTAAAAAAAAAACCTATTAGGTTGCCTGTATTAGGATGTTGAAAAGTCAAATAGAATCTATCTAATTTTGTTTTGGGCAGCGCTTCATGCGTCACATGGACACGTCGCAGCACTTCGCCAATATGGAGTCCGAGACGAAGGAATTGCTCATGGACTTTGTTGAAAAGCACGCCATGACCTATTTACATCAGTAAGTTTTTTATTACCTGTACAGAAATAAGCCTGGTCTGATTACACAAATATGATTAAAGCTAAACTTTAAATATTATAGTGACAAGTGGGCTTATAATTCACCCAATAGTAAAAAGATATTGCCCAAAGATACCTCAGAAACTCTGATGTTATGACCAAAGAAGACCTAAGCTTTGTCACCCTTGACGATTACGGTGAAATGCCTCTCAGCTTGTATTTATACAATCTCTTCTCTGGAACTCAGCAGGACTGGTGCTTGTAAGCAGAAATGGGTAAGAGAATGGTGCCAAGATGGTAACTCTACCACCAGTAAGCTATTTAATGATTAATATCTTATCCACTCTTACGTCCGCCCCGCGCTAGGAAATATGCGTCAAACGTCCGACTACTCGCCGCCTCAAGCCGCGCGAATCTGTACCCGCTGCTCCGTAACAAAAACCTTTGTTACAGCTAAAATATAATAACTACAGCAAAGATAAAAATATTGAAAAATAGCTAGACGTTTATAGATTGATCTTATCTATTTTAAAAAATCGAAAGTGATAATCTATTATACTTAAAATAAGGTTTAATGTCAATTCCCAAGTGGAAAATAAAAAAAAAACTTTAAATAAATTTGTGTCGTAAGCATAAAATATAGTAATATTTACCAACACAACATTAAAAAGAAAAACTAGATTCATTTTCCTTTAATATGATGCTAATATCTCATATTTGAATATTTCTAAGTAGCTAAAAAAATCAAATCAAAATACATTCTCCTTGCAATTTTGCGACAGCCTCTTGACAATTGCCGAGTCGTCACGCGTCGTTCGAATTGAAGAAGATGGACGTCCGTCTAAGGCTTTCTATGCACGATAAGGTTAAAATAATAAGGTTACGAATAAGTGATAAAATATATATTTTAAAGATTTATAATTATGGCTTAAACGATAAAATTAAAAAAAAAAAAACTATTTGCTAAATCGACGTCCCCGAAGAAAAAAAGCGTATTAAACAAAGTAAACTTTATAGGAGAAACACAAACTTCGCAATCTGTTGCATTAGTTTCGAGGAATGAATTGTTGACTTTTGAAATAATTAGAACAAAAAAAAAATATCACAAAAGGTAAATAACCCAAAAATACGAAAAACATTAAAATTTTAAATACAGTAAAAGTGTGCAAGTGTGTGTACAAGTGTGAAAATGAATCAATACAACGATATATTACAACAAAAATAAAACATGTGATAACATCAAGCAGTATTAAATATTGAAAACACACTTCCTCGTTTCTAGAGACACTTATTTATAACTTTTGTGTTAACATCCTTGGATACCTCACTAGTCATACGAAAAAACCTGAAGAACACATTGATATTAATTGTGAATCCTTTGACATTTTGATATATTTTAACTAAAAAAGTGTATGAGTACGTTTATTAGAAATTTAATCACTATTACTTCACTGAATAACACGTAAATCAATCATAAACAAGAAGACTAGCGACTGTGAATTACAAAGACGTCATTGTTTTGGTAACAACAATATTTTGAAGTTCAAATTAGAGCCGATTTAGTACGTGAAACTTTATCGTCTAAGTATTATCAGAAAGTACAAATTCTAAAGTTCATTTTGATGTACAATAATCTAACAATTAAGTTAAAAAGTAAGAAATACTTACGACATAATCGCTGGTGCTCCGAAACACTTTAGTGACAAGTCGACTGAAGTTGTTATTTTTAATTCTATGCACCCAAACACGAAACACTGCCCTCTTCTGTTATTTCTAGTGAAGTAATTTAATCATTTTTAAACTAGATGGCAATATTTACAACGTGTCGTTTTGGATAGTATACTATGCCGGATGGACGACGGCATATTTTGTTTGGCTACTATACTCTCCACGGACGTGCTAGTGGTTATAGTCACTTTTCTTAACCTAACAATAAAAACGAAAAGATTTGCAAAAAAACGCAAAAACAGAAATGCTTACTGCACTCACAGTGGGAAAAAAGAGCTTTCATTACGATGCAAGCTGTTAGTGTCGGCTGACAGATAAATAAATAAATAAAATTTTAATAAAAAGTAAAAATGTTCTTCAAAGAAATGGAATAAAAAAAATAATTGCCATGTAATAGTTTCACAAGTCGGTGCTAAAACTATAGTAAGTAGTTCCTTAAAACTTAAAAAGTGCGTAACCAGTGCATGTTTCCAAGAAAGACATATAGAACTGAAATGGGGCCCTTTACTGTTGACTGTATCAGAAAGCTCAGCAAGCTATGAAGAGGGCTATGTTCGGAGTTTCTGTGTATGATAGAATGGCTAACGATGATATCTGTAGTAGAGCCAGAGTAACCGACATAGCCCAACGGATTAGTAAGTTGAAGTGACAATAAGTCAGCCATAGCTTGAAGAATTGATGGAAAAAAATTCTCATGTGATAGCTTTAAGCTGGTAAGGTGGTTCCCTACTAGTTAGTGACGTCCTAATAACCTATCCAGGGCTCAGGACCGTGCTTTGTACTTTTGTATTCATTCGGGAGGCTTAAATTCAGCAGTAGACGTGTGAAAGGCTCTACTGATGATAAAGATGGTATAAAAATGCCCTTGGCATCATTTTATGACAATTAAAACGTCAATTCGCACTAGAGCCGTATGGAGAACTCTTTCCTGCTCCAAAATGTAGAATTGAGTGAAGCTTTGCGCTCAGAAGTATATATTATTAATTATATATTCGTAAGTACTAGTAGGCTGCGTTCCGTATTAAAATTTCCATATAATACCTCGAATCAAATCAAATACAACATTTTTGTAGACATTTCGTTGATCATTTTCTCTTGGAAATAGAACCACATATTCGACCTTCCCTGTTTTATTGCTTGAATAAATTAAATAATAAAAACTATTCATTTTAATAGGTTACCAGGTGTTGTGTTCTCTCCAGCTGGTACGGATGACGAGCGAGCAGACAGAACGATGTCGGAACGAATTCAGCAGCTTAGCTGGGTGGGCGAGACACACCTGGAGTGCAATCTGGACAGGAATGACGCAAAATGCAGGCAGCTGCTTTATAAAGCTATCAGTGGTGAGTCCACTTTGACTTTCAGTACTTATGTGCCAATATATAATTGTGGGTCTATTGTGGGTGGGTGCTAGAAATTTTTGTCATAAAGCTTCTGAGTTTTATTTTAACTTCTAAAAAGAACTACTTTTTATCATATATAATAAATGGACTGTTTTAAACAGATCGCTCTTTAATATCGGACTCGAAGGATCATATTTACTTTATTTCTGACTTCTTCAACTAACTAATAGGGCTGTATTATTATCTAGAATAACGAGACACTAAAAGTTTATTTTTCAAATGGTCGATATTTGCAGCTTAATAACTTTTTTTCGGATAGTTTTCATTGTCCTTTTTTGACATTTCAATTTGTTAAATTAACAAGATACTAAATTACAAAAACAAAATATGTTTGATAAACCATCTTTTTTGTAAACATGTAATTTTTAATATACCACTATGAGCCGTAGTATGCAGTCACTTACTATCAGGTGGACTGTGTGTTTGTTTGTCAACCTTATTCTATAAAAAAATTGTATTAGAGTTTTGGCGGTCCGGTCTCTGGTCTTGATAGTGGCAAAAATAATGTAGCAGTCTTTCTTGATTTAGCTAAAACCTTTGACACAGTTTCTGTTCATCGTTTGTTAAATAAACTCGAAATAGTAGGTGTACGAGGCGCAGCATTAAATTTATTTACGAGTTATCTTACCAACCGTAGTCAGAGAGTCAAGCTTGGTGATTTTCTCAGTAATGAGTTTCCAGTAACCTATGGTGTGCCTCAGGGAAGCATTTTAAGTCCAACGCTGTTTCTGATTTATATTAATGACCTGTGCGAGATCCAGCTACCTCGAGGGAAAACAGCTACCTTTGCTGATAATACAGCTTTCGTTTTTAATGCTCGTGGGAAGATGTTTTTGAGCTAGCGCAAAAAGGGTTTGACATTGTTAACAAGTGGTTGGTTGATAACGTACTTACTCTCAATGTTACAAAAACAAAATACATGACCTTTGCCTTACAGAAGTCGAGTCTACCTACTTTTGGCTCTATCTTTGCTCACTGCTGCGGTTCTCTAAATTACACCTCTTGCTTTTGCCCTACGCTGGAAAGAGTTGAATCTATTAAATACCTAGGAGTCATTGTTGATTCTACTCTCACCTGCACATCGATTACCTGGTATCTAGACTGAGAAAACTAATTTATATTTTTAAATCCCTCCGACACATAGCTGATCGGTCTATTATCAAATCTATTTATTACGCTCTAAATCAATCTATAATCAGCAATTGCATGACAGTGTGGGGTGGTGCAGCTAAAACTCACCTTATTGGAGCTAAGAAAGCTCAACGAGCAATCCTCAAAACTGCGGCTATACTCCTTTGTAGACATGCTACGACGGAGCTTTACAGGTTATGGGATGTCCTCACTGTTAGGCAAATATTTATACTAAAAATAATAACTAGAAAGCATTTCCAACTGAATTACGATCCCAATCTCAGCACTACTAAAAGGAGAAGGGACCTGGTGACCTGTAGAACAGGTATTGTTTAATACCTTTATTAGGCACCAGTCTCTCACAAACTAGGGTTCAATACGTTTATAGTTCAACATATTTGTCATCAATAATTCTGTTCCTGTTTCTGATGAGAAAATAATTATAAATTCTATTCTATTCTGATTTATAGTATCTTTTAGTTGCGAAATAATTAGGACACGTAACAGGTGGGCGTGAATAAAAAAATGTGATAAGAGAGTAAGGGCGAAGTAGGACTAATCGAGTAGACGGGTCGGTCTTTGGAAGATAGATAGTTAGATAGATAGAAAAATTATTTGCTTAAGGCACAGCGGTGACACTCCCTGTACGTAAGAGCTTAAGCGCCGATGACCTTGAGTCGAAGCGGGTAACGCTAGGGTTGATATCAAACCGAAATGGAATATTATAGACTTGTACCAAAGAAGATACATACTAGGTATGTGTTATATATTATGTAAACTTATGCATTTGGGTAGTGAAAGATACGTTCAATTTTAAATCAACTTTTATTAAATGAGGAATATTAAAACTTCCGACAAAACCAAATATGCACGACAGTTAATGGCAATCTTAAATAATTAACCAACACCTATTTCAGTACGCAATAATCAGTATTACCTATTATCGTTTAAAAATAATTTATTTATATATATTTTTGAATTTTTCGATTATTTTTTTAATTTTCATTATTATTTCTAACAATTGCAAAAATTCGTAGCATGTATATTTTTTTTTAGAAAATCGAAAGGTATGCAGGTTTCCTGGGACATGGCGGCCAACAAATTGTACCCTTTGTGTTGAGGAGATAAGTCATTTCTATTTCTAATGAAATAATCCATAAATACAACAATGAACAAATACAAAAACTCTTTATAGATATCTAAAATTTCTTGAATCTAGTGGTATTTTTAATAGTGTATATTTCAGTTAATGTAATATAATAAAATTATTGGCGATATATTAGTTTTATTGTCATGGTATTTCTCCATAATTCTTGTTAAGATCATATCGATTTTCATTAAAATGAGTTCACATATTTTTAGGTATCATAAAACATTATTAAAAATTAAACTAACAAAACAAGGGCCCTTGTTTTGTGCAGTGGAATTTATTTTAATTCTAATCACTTAAAATCACTTTCAGTAATACTTATACATATACTATAATATCATTTATTTAATAACAACATTAATATTTATCAAAGCATATAAACCTAGCATACACGGCTATAAAAACTAATAACGTTACTTGGTAACATAAACTTAATACCTACATGAATAGAATAGTAATATGTACATTAAGACATCAGTAATATTCATATATTAATTGAAATATTATATCACTTGACGAATATATTCATATTAACTAATACTGACAAATATCGGTATTAATACTAGCCCTCGGCCAGGGCAGTCGGCGACTGCCCGTTCCACGCCCCGCGCGCCTCTCAAGGCCCCCGCACACATCCAGACACCCACACATAGCCGCAAGCGATTTTACGTGCACGCATGCTTAAGTGTCGTTTCTTTTCGCGTATTGTATACATTCTTTGCTTAAGGCTTTACCTCTAGCGAACGACCTTGAGCGTTTGGCCTGCCGACGCTCTCGCTCTACGAGCACTTAACCCTATCTCGCTACAATATATCGCGTAGAAATCTGCTAGACGCCACCTACTGGTACGAACGTAGTATTAATTTATCAATGTCAATGAACTATTTTATGGAAATAGACACGGCAGACAATGTTATGTGTATTTTAATTTTCTTTATTCGGTATATTAGTTGCATTATATTAGAATTATGTATTCTCATATATCATCTAATTAATAAAAATTACTATTCTGATTATTTTTAACTATATACTATACTGCTAATATTGAATTAGCTTTATAAAGAGTAAATTATAATATTTGTCGAAATGTGGATTCGAACTTTACATGCTAATGGTGCTTCATTTTTGTTATTTTCATTTACTTATACCTGTATGTTGAAAATATACTTGAATAGTATATATTATTATTTTATTTAGCTACTGAATTTTAGGATATGTTTTACCTTGAGGTCAAATATAATTTTGAGGAGCAATAGTTATTACCTACTAATCTTTTATCTGCTATTCCTTATTTAGGAACAATATTAGTAAATTGAGTTTGAGGGAGATTTACTGTTTATAATGCTACATTTATTATTTTAATACTTACCTACTGGGTAGGTAATTATTAAAATAATAAATATAGCATTAGTAAATAAATAGATATTTTTTACCCAATTACAATAACTAATGAGATATTGTGATTATTTGTGATTAGTAGTATACTAGGTGGGTATTAATAAATAGAACAAAATAAAATATAAAGTCAATTTTAATATCTTGAATGTAAGAAATTGATTACAAATTCTTTAACTTCCTTAAATTATAAACAAACAGCTGCAGCTATTAAATGAACACATATGTGCATACATACGCCCATATATATATATATACAAGTGGTTATATATATATATACTATATATATATATATATATATATATATATATATATATATATATATATATATATATAAATATATATAGTATCCGGATGACCGAGCTTTGCTCGTTTTTTTTTAAATTACATTTATAAATTACATACTGATACAACTTTGACCTTATTGACAGAATAGAAAAAACTGAACTGATTATTTGAATAAAAAATTATGAGTGCAATTAGTCTTATTAAAATTTTCGTATTTTTAAAAATTACTAAAAAAAAGGGATTTGAAATAATAGATTTTCTCACAAAAGAAGGGAACTTGAAAAAAAAAAGAAAAAAAACCGGACCAGAGCGCGGACGCGAACTACGGAACTTCGATATCACGCCCGACCGACATACCACCTGAGCTGTAACGGTCGTTAGTGATTTGTCGAAATTTACCTTCTTCTATTGTAGCAGTTTTTTTAATTGCCTGAAAACACGGACAAAAGGACATTTTATAAAAATAAATCCAAGCGTTCGTCGTTAAAATCGTTGGAGCCGTTTCCGAGATTCCGATTATATATATATACAGGGTGTTAGTGTAAACACCGTTGTCCTTGAAACCAGTGGTTTGGTTTCACTTATAGAAAGTAATTTCAATGAAAAATAACATTTTTTTTAGTCAAATCTCAATTTTTTCTTACAATTATTTCACCCTAGGCAAGTAGGGATATACCTACAGAATTCACAACAAAAAACTCAACATATCATAGGTAGCGGCAGCGATTCGCGGTCAAGGCCAATGTCACTGTGTCAGTGTGTCAGTCCTTCGCTGCGTCGGTACGGAATGTACGTGTTAATTTGATTTAAAACCGCGCCGCGCAGTGCCGACATTCTATGTCGCTTTAGGTTGTAGTTTTGGTGCAAGTATATTTAATTTGTAATTATGTCCTACATAAACGTGCAGTGGAAATGTGCCTCTTCGTTCACTGAGAAACCTCTACTACCAACATGACGGTGCCCCTGCACATTTTCA